GATTCAATTGAAAATAGTATTACTGCTTACCAAAAAAAGCAAAACGAAGTGCACTGCTACCATAAAGGGGAGTGCTGCTGATTGTAAGACTTCTGATTTTCGTTCTTTGCGTATTTTGCGGCAGCGGTTTTGACAGAAAGCAACAAATCATTTTGAAATTTTCAGACGATGACCTGAATGTGCACATAACTGATTTGGAACCGGGTACAAAATATGAAGTTATTGTTGTGGCGAAACACCAGGATGAATCTGGAAATATCAGAGAGACGGAATCACGTGTCTCGCATATTATCACTACTGGAAGTGGTCAGTTTTTTCTACTTTTGAATTGAGTTCCTTCATAAATTTTTCCAGGATTGCTCATGTTGCTGCGCATGACAAATTTTTTCTGAAGGAATACTGGAGGAGGCAGAAGCTTTGTTTCATTTGCATTACCCTTTTGTGTGAGTGACTGGATTTGTGTTGCATGTTGGGGTAGGGGAGATTAACTACTGCACCGTGAAAAATGTGTCTGCAGTTTATCTCGGTTCGCCGTTCACAGTGCCTTTTCACTTCTTTCAGATTGGGAGTGGATGTGTGTGAGAGAAGTTCTGAAATGTAAAATTTTTTTAGCACCGCAAAGCGCACGAATCTGGTGGTTAATCATCATACTGCTGTTGATACTGCTCTTACTTGTCATTCTCTGTATTGTATGCGTGACGGCTCGGCAGCGTGGAGCAAAATATCCCGTATCGGAGAAGGAGAGACAGCAAGGCAGACAGTCAATATTGCCCGGTGGTAAAGACAGAGGATTTGGCGAATATGTTTATCCGTAAGTTCCACTTCGCCTTCTGCGATAGGTGATTTGCATCTTGTGAATTTTGGAATTTATTTTTTGCTTCCGCTAATTTTTGTTCAGTTTTTTTCTTTTTTTTTCAGGGAAGATGATGAAAAACGGTCACTGACTGGAAGCAAGGCTTCGGAAACTGATTCAATGGAAGAATATGGCGATACGGATCCGGGGCGGTTCACCGAAGATGGTTCCTTCATAGGTACGAATTACTTGTCTTTTTCACTGTGATGTAATTTGAGAACAGTTGGATCGTTTTCTGCCAGCGGCTTGAACCCGTTTTATCACTGATTTTCAGAAAAAGTTTTCTTAAGAATTTTTTTGAACAGAAAAGGCATCGTCGAAAAATAAATTATCCGCGCGTCATTGGGCCATCCGTGGACAAGTCCGCTTTATTTGCTGAGTTTATGCGCACCGCCCAGTGTAGGAAACCTCGTGTTTCTAATACTTTTTATGCGTTTTGTGCTGCAACAGTTACAAAAAACGCATATTATCGAGACTGGCCTGTATGTGTGTGTTCCGAGTGCATTTTATCCACGAATTTCCACTCGGGAACCACAAAAGTTAGACAACTAAAATTTTGGTAAAATGTTCCCCGCCCATTTGCGACCCTGCAAACTTAAATTCAGTCTTCACGTGCCCCCGGGTACCACGTACGATCCCACAGAAATTCTGGAGAGAATTATTATCTCGGGAACCACGAAAGCTGAGAGGTTGAAATTTTAGACGAATGTCCCTTGCGCGCATACGACACCGTAAATTTGAATTCAGTCTTTCCATTCGCTTGCTTGCCACGTATGGCCCCGTGAAAGTTTCGGTGGGAAAATCACTATCTTGGGGACCCGGGAGCTAGGAGGCTGAAACTTTAATGTTCGCGCCCACGTGCAGCCTCGCAAGGCCGAATTTAGCTTTCACGTAGGCCTGGGTCTTACGTGCGGTCCCGCAAAGGTTTTG